CCACCACTACCACCACCTCTGTCCTCCACATGCTCACTTGTCCTCACTTGTCTGTGCTGCTCTCGGAAGTGGTTAGGTTTAGGACACATCCAATGCAGAGATGGCCTCATTAACACAACTAAGAAGTCCATGCCCAAACTGAGTTCTTTCCACAGGTACAGAGGTTAGGGGGGTTTAATGCATACTTTTGTGGGGCACAGTTCAATATGTAATACCTGGCTTTGTAGGAAGCCACTCAACTGATTTCTGACTCTCCTACTCTGCTCTTGGGTGTAAGTCACTCTGTGACTTGCATGTTAATTCCCTGTGGCCTCCAGACCCCTGCTGAAGCCAATCTGCTTGCCAAGATCCTGGGGGATGACATACACATTTCTTCTCGCCTCTCTGGTGCCTTTCTGCTCATAAAAAGAAACACTTCCCCTTTACACACACCGCTTTCCCTCCTCCCCACATGCACACATGCACCCGCCATAAAAAACCAAACCATAGAAACTAGAGAAACTTTTTCCCTGATTATTTTTCCCTCTCCAGACAGGGACATCGATATATTTGAATCATGGACCGACAGTAATTAAAAAGCACATAACTAGTCATTTTAAATGCAGTTGTTTTACTTAATTGATTTTGCCGCCAGACCCGGAGGAAAAAAAGGAGTGGGGGTGGGAAGCTTTAGAAAAGGAGAGAAGGTTCCGAGAGTGACTGGAGGCAGCTGAGGCCCCTGCTAGAATCTAATTGCTGCAAATGGTGCAGTTTGTTTCTGCTGAAAGGGCTGGGGGCCAAGGCCTGATTGGAGGGGGCGTTGGCATTTATTTCAGCTGCACAGGGGGTATAGTTCTGCTTTTGGGACAGGATCTATTTTTCCGTACTATCTATCAACATAAAGTACTTACACTGAACATTTTGAATCAAGGTTCCATTTAGAGATACTTTATTCATATTTAATTACAGGCTGTACCACCAATCTTTAATTACCTTTTTTATAAGCCAGCTAGGAACATCCACCAGCAATCAATTATCCTGTGTGTGTATGTATGTGCTTGAGCGTGTATGTAAGTGCAGGAGGCTATGGGTGTGTGCCTTACTTGATAGTGATGGCGATGTGTGTGTGTGCTGGTAGGTTGGTATGGGGTGGGGAAGGTGGACATAGCCTGACAGGTTCCGGTGCCAAGAGTGGCACATCTCCATTTTCTGGGTCTCTGTGGGGATTTTGGCACCTATTCTAAGCCAGCATTGTTGGCCCTGTCCAGGGTGCTGAACAAGCAGCTGGGTTTGGATGGGGTTACCTTGGGACCTTCCCTGTCCCCTGGTAGGAGCAGGGGACTTGTTGGAGGCCCCCTTCCTATTCTTGGGCATGTGCTGGGCAAGGTTTCTCACATGGGATACTGGAATAGGACAGTTTCTTCCTCCACCTCCCAGAGATGATCTTGACACACCCTGTCATTCTCCAGTTGCATTGGTTCTACAACATCCCAGCAGTCACCTGGTTGGAAGATTGATTGGTCTTCTCAAAGAACATGAAATGTCTCTGGGGAGCCAGACTGGGACATGGGTGGGTGCAGCAGGAAGGTCGGTCCACTTCAGGTGCCTGGGAGAGGAGGGCCTGAGTTCCCTCCCAGCTTTACTCCAGAGAACACCTTCCTTGGGAGCTGGTGGTCTTTCAGGAACCATCAGGAGGTTTCAGAGGAGCTCAGGTTGAATGTGGCTGAGACTCATCCTTTGTTTACCTGGACCCTGTCCCAGCAAAACGGTGAAGAGTGACGGAAACTCACAGCTACTGAGCCTCTTGTAGGTGCTTGGTACTATACACACACTTTGCTGACTGATCCTAGGTGGGCTCTGAGAATACACTGTTTATCAGAGTCCCTTCAGTTTTATAGGATGGGACATCCAACTCAAACAGACTTGTACGAAAATCTAACTCAGGCATGGCTGGACGCAGGGGTTCAAGCATTACCACTAGGCTTTACTCTGTCGTGATTCTGTTTTGATCTTTGTTAGCATTTCTGTGACCTCAGACAGCGCTGCCTTATGTTTTTAGTTTTAAGTTCAGCAGAATGAGCGACTCCTTTTTCCTACAGTTTGATCAAAAGTAAGAATGTTGTGCCTGATTGGATCTGTTTGGGTCATGTGTCCATCTCTGAAGCAATTATTATGGCCAGAGCCATTTGGTGTTGTGATTGGCCAGCTCAGGGCCACATACCTAGCTGGAGTAAAACTACAGCTGATGTGTGTTGGCTACTCTGGAAAGTTGAGGTCTTTGACTGAATATGAGTGTGCTTGTAGGAAAGTTCTGTGGTCCAAGCAGGTCCTGTCATTTCAAAGGGAAGAAAGAGCTTCTTTTCAAATGGAGATAACAGTGGATCCATTAATTCAGCAAATATTTATTTGGCATCTACTAATTCCAGACCGTGTTTAAGTGCAGGGAATTAAGTAGTGAACAAAACAGACAAGGGCCTTATAGGGATGATAGTTCAGAATAAAAGATTCTCATGTAAAAAAGGAACTCTGGTAGCATAGTTGTAACGAGTCAGGCTGCTAACCATCAAGGTCAACAGTTCGAAATTATCAGTTGTTCCACAGGAGAAAGATGAGGCTTTCTGCTTCCATAAAGATTTACAGCTTTGGAAACCCTATGCTGGGTCGCTATGTGTTGGAACCGACTCCAAGGCATACCACCACCACCACCACCATGTAAAGATACCTGAGATGATTCAGGGTGGGTGACATGGGAAGAATTTACCCACAGGAAACCTAGAACTCATGAAGGAGGAAAAAAATACCAGTTTGTGTTTGGAGGAGAAGGGGAAACTAGACACTGGAAGGGGATACAAACAAGAAAACCAGTGAGAAAAAGGGCACAGAAAAGCCAATTGTGTACCCATCTCCTGTGACAGGAAAGTGCTGGTCCCTCCCTGTGTTGCCTGGGCCTTTGGCCTTAGCAGGATGTTGATAAATGGGATGGAGTTCAGTGAAAGCCACAAAAATGATGACAGGGCTGGAGGGAGTGATTTATGAGACGAGATTAGTAAAGTGATAGGGCAGCCTGGCAGAATGGGGAGGGGTAGTGGTGGCCATGGTCAGGTGACTTCAGAAATCCAAGGGGAGGAGAGCTTGAAAGGTGGGGGACGGAGGACTGTTATGTATGTACATGTGACTAGTTATATATGTACATGTGTGTAATTGTGAGTGTGTGGACTTTGCAGAACTGGGGATCTACAGAGCCTTAGAAGGGAAGATATAGAAGGGATAGCCAAGTTGACCTTGGCTAATCTTAAAAAAAAAACAAAAAACCCACAAAAACTTTTGGGGACCTCCTTCTTCTCTGGTGGGATATTCTGGACCATGTAGATATGATCAGAGAGATTGGTATGGCATTCTTCATAGGGAAGGAGTGAAGGAAGAAGAGAAGAGAAGATGGACAAGTTAAGAGTCTACTTTCCATTTCATAGAGACAGTATATGAGGTGCAGCATTGGCTGGCTGGCGAGGACCGGAGGCAGGGTTTCTGGCTTGCAGTCCTGGACTCTCTACCTGTGTTGTGTGGCTGGGCTGGGACTAGGCTTGGAGTCTGTGTAGAAGCTGATGCTTGACAGGAACGAAGTTGGCTGTTGGCTCTGGAGATTTTTGAGTTCTCCAGGTTCGTGGAATTGGAACATCTTCTATCTGATCTCTGTTTTGGGCTGCCCTAGACCCAATTCTTTTTTAATTAAAAATTTTATTTTAAAGTGAGATGAAATTCACATAAGATAAAATGAGTCATTTTAGTGTGTGCAATTCAGTGTGCTTTCTTAGTCACTTAATGCTGCCTTAACACAAATGCCACAAGTGGGTGGCTTTAAAAGAATAGGAATTTATCATCTCAGTTTTGGAGGCTAGAAGTCCAAATTGGCTTTCGGCAAGAATCCTTTGCCAGCAGTCCCAATATTCCTTGGTTTCCTGAGGGATCCTCGTATAACGTCTGTCTTCCCCCATGTGTGTCACTTAGTCTATTCTTCTCTTTGCTAAGACCCCGCTCAAAAGTCATTAGGTTTAGGACCAATTCTGGTGCTGTCTCATTAACAAAATAAACCTTATTTCCAACCAGGCTCCTTCACAGGTACAGGGGTTAGGATTTCAACATATATTATTTTGAGAATACAATGCAGTCCATAGCAGGTACATTTATAACATTATGTAACCACTATCTCTGCTCAGTTCTAAAACATTTTAATAACTCAAAAAAATAAAAACCAAAAACAAAATCACCAACTCTGTACCCCTCAAACAGCCACTCCCCACACCCCCGTGACCCTAGCCTCAGACTGACAACCACCAACTACCAATCTGTTCTTTGTCTCTATGGATTTATGTATTCTAGAAATTTTATATACATTTATCACTGTGTGACTTCTTTTACCTAATATGTTTTTGAGGTTCATCCTCATTGTAGCATGTATTACTACTTCATTCCCTTTTTATGGCTTGATGATTTATATTGTATATATAAACCATGATGTGTTTATCCATTCATGTTGATGAACATTTGGGTTGGTTTGAAAATTCAACTACTGTAAATAGTACTGCTAAGAATATCTGGGCACAAGGATTTGTTTGAGTACCTGCTTTCAGACCTCTTGGGTATATATCTAAGAGTGGAATTGCTGGGTTGTATGATAATTCTCTGTTTAGCTTTTTGAGGAACTGACTTATTTTCCATAGGTGACAGCTCAGGAGGTCCAATGGTGTATCCTTTAATGGATGCGTATTTCTGAATATTGCACTTCTTTGACCTTACATACGTGAAGGTATACCCTCCAAGGGTGTCTTCTGTTCCTTTCCTCTCCATATGCCAGGGTGGCCATTTCCATGGTAGCAAAGGGCCCAGGCAAGGCCCTTGGCTGGTACAAATAACTCAGAAAGCAGAACATTTGCTTTCTGTTGGTATTGGGTAGTGCTGACTCTGGCCCATCTTCCTCTTAGGTCATCTTTTCATTTGCTCTGTTCTTTCTCCATTTTTGACAGATCCATGATTTATTTGTGAGCTTTGATGACACCCCTCTAGGGGCTGCCTCTCTGGCCCAGGTCCACAAGGCGGTGCTGCATGATGGGCGGACAGTGGCTGTGAAGGTCCAGCACCCAAAGGTGCAGGCTCAGAGCTCGAAGGACATTCTTCTGATGGAGGTGAGAGTTTTCCCCTTCCTCCTCCACTTGCCCTCATTCTGCACTTCACTGGGACCTAGCAGCCTTGGTGAACTGGGTGGGGTGTGGTCCTTTGAGCAGCAGAATGGGGAGAAGAGAACTTGAGACCATGATGAAGGAGTTGTCATGGCAACTCTGTGACCTTGGGACCTCATTGGTGGGTTGACCAACTGTTCCACATTTGTTCCCTGGAGCTGCCTGTTGATGTGGTCTCAGAACTCCTTGAGTACCTCCTAGGGAAAGTGAGACCTCAAGAAGAAAGTTGGAGAAATGAGATGAACCAAGGTGATTTTCTTAGGAGTAGAAAAGTTATGTCTTATTTTTGTTAAATTATAACAAAATGATCATGTGGACAACCAAGGGATATAAAAATGACTTGTAGCATGCAGACATATTTATACATGCTACCTGTTTGCTTATCTGATACTTGTTTTGAATGAACAGGCTTACATGCTTGAAAATGGCCCTAGGAGAACCTGAGTGGAGGCTGTACCCTGGGCTTTTCCAGCTCCAGCTCTGGAACAAGAAAGAAAGATGATGAGCTGGCCAGTGCTCAGGACTAAACCCAGCACTCCCCTTGTTGTTGTTGTTAACTGCCATCAAGTCAGTTCCTGACTTGGGTTTCCTGACTTAGCGACCCTGAACAGGGTTTCCGAGGCTGTAAATCTTTACGGGAGCAGAAAGCCTCATCTTTCTCCTGCAGAGCAGCTGGTAGTTTCGAACTGCTGACCTTGCGGTTCGCAGCCTGATTCATAACTACAATGCTACCAGAGCTCCTTTAGCACTCCCCTTAGGATGGTCCAATCTAATGAAATTTCTAGCATGCTCCTCTCACTCCTTCTCCTGCCTGTTTTCTCTCTCCCTTTGTTCTCTTTCTTCACTCTGAACTCCTGGTGCTTTTCTTTCAGCTCACTTTAAGGTGGACATGTGCATTGAGGGTCTCCTGTTCACATATACCAAGTGGGTGCTGGGGACACAAGAATAAATGAGCTCCATCTTCATCCTCATGGAGTACCCAGGCTAGTAGAGAAGACAGGTTTGTAGACAAATGGCCACAAAGTATGGGCCTGAGCTCTGTCCAAGAGGAGGTTGCAAAGTGCAATAGAGTCCTGCACCTGGACTAGGGGTGGGCTCTCCAAGGAGGTGGTACTTGAGTAAACTTTGAAGAGCCCACAGAACAGTTGAGCATGGGAAGGATATCCCAGCATGTGGTAAGACCCTGAGAATTGGAGGAAGGACAGCCCGGCATGTGTTAAGGCCCTGAGTACTGGAGGAACAGTGTCTGATTGGAGACCCTCAGTTAGTTCAAATGGTAGGAGCTGGTGAGTGGTAGGAGATGAGGTTGGGAAGGTAGGCAGGGCCAGATGCAGGCCAAGGAGGAGAATAGTGTCCGCAGTAAGGGTTCCATCTATATTTGTGGAACTGAGCTGGTCTGATATTCCCCTGTAGTCAGTATTCCCCATTTAAGAATTTTAGTCAGTGAAGTGTGACAATATGATGTGCATTAGAAATGAAAATCATTTGGCAGTGTGGAGAATGTATGAGAAGTCAGAAAAGACTGTAGCTAGGGAAACTCAGTGGCCTGGGAGAGAAATACTAATGTTAACCAAGGCAGTGTAATAGGGAGGGAGAAGAGGGATGGGTCCAAGGAGTGAACGATTATGACACACAGTGATCCATTGTCAGCTTCATGCAGGATGGCGTGAATGAGAACCCCTCCAACCAAAATCCACTGTCATCGAGTCATCTCTGACTCATAGCCACCCTGTATAGGGTTTCTGAGGTTGTAACTCTTTATGGGAGCAGGAAGCCACCTCTTTCTCTCACAGAGTGACTGGTTGGGTTTGAACTTTTGCCTTCTGGTTAGCAGTCCAATGCTTATCCTACAGTACCAGAAGACGACTAAAACATTTCTGGCTTAAATGATTAAGTTTGAGTGCCTTTAACCATGTGTTATGAGAAAAAAAGAAATTGTCCTAGCTATTTCAAAGAGGGACTTTAAAACAGAATTGAACTAGAAGATGGATAGATTTGCTGAGAAGCCAGATGGGATGGTGAGGCAGTCTAGAAGTTATCAACAGTGGAAAGCCACTCCATCTTCAAGACTGGAGGGAGAAAGTGGGGAGGTGGCTCCCTAGATCCCCAAAGTGGGGGCTATCTGGTGGAAGTGTGCTGGTTGGGAAATGAATCATAAACACTGGATCTGCCAATTGGGAGCTGGAGTCACAGAGGAGACACAGCTATGGCCAGAGACGCAATTTGAGGCAGATGAAGAGTAAAGGGAAGAAATAGCTTGACGTTTCACCTTCCCCTGCCCCCCAGTAGTCCACCTGAGCTGTCCATTGACTGAACCTGGCTGGAATCAAGCTGGAAAGGGAACTTGGGCAGTGTAGTTTCTTGTGAGAGCCAGGGGGTTGGTTGGGATGGATCTCAGAGCAAATGGAAATAGGGAGGGGGGCACAGTTCTATTGGTCATTTGGATAGGGATGCCTCCATAGGTTTGAAATTCAGGCTGGAACTACAGACTTGGAATTTATCAGCAAGGGTACTCTTGGCAGCTGAAGAGGAGACCAGTTAGGAAGGTGCATAGAGTGAGAAACGAGGAGGAGGTGAAGGGGGAGGAAGAAACAGTAGCAGAAGGAAGCTAAGTAGAAGTAGGAGTAGAAGTGAAGGAGGAGGCAAGGAAAGAACTGTGAGGACCACCATTGTTTAGAGAGTGAGCCCAGGAGGATAAATTCACAAAGACGAGTACCAAGTGGAACCGACATGACAACACTTAACAACAACGTATTGGTTGGGGCAGTCAAATGAGTCCCTTTTGGTTCCAGGCGTGGAAGAATAGATGCCATCTCTTAATGAGTAAGTGGCCAGGTTCTAGAAGACCATGGAGGATGGACAATATTGATGTGGACCAGGGGTAGGGGATGTCTGGCCTGCAGGTTGTGTTGTTGTTGTTGTTGTTGTTAGGTGCCATTGAGTCCGTATCGACCCATAGCGACCGTATGCACAGCAGAACGAAACACTGCCTGATCCTGGGCCAACCTCACTACTGTTGCCTAATGCAATACGTCGTTTGATTTCTTGACTGCTGCTTCTGAGTGTTGATGGTTGATCCAAGAAGAATGAAGTACTTGACAACTTCAGTCTTTTCTTGGATGATAAGAATGTTGTCGATTGGTCCAGTGGTGAGGATTTTTGTTTTCGTTACATTGAGATTGAGATGCAATCCGTACCAAAAGCTGTGCTCTTTGATCTTCATCAGTAAATGTTTTAAGTCCTCTTCACTTTCAAGCAAGCAAGGTTGTATCATCTGCATATCACAGGTTGTTTATTATGCTTCCTCCAATCCTGTTGCCACATTTTTCTTCATAGAACCCAGCTTCTCGGATTATTTGCTCTGCATACAGGTTGAATAAGTATGCTGAACGAATACAACCTTGTTGCACACATTTTTTAAATTTTAAACCATTCAGTGTTCCCATGTTCCGTTCGAACAACTGCTTCTTGGTCCAGGTACAGATTCCTCATGAGCACAATTAAGTGTTCTGGAATACTCATACTTCGCAATGTTGTCTATAGCTTGTCATGATCCACACAATCAAAAGCCTTTGCTTAGTCAATAAAGCACAGGTAAACATCTTTCTTATATTCTCTGCTTTCTGCCAAGATCCATTGGACATCATCAATGACATCTCTTGTTCCACGGCGTCTTCTGGACCCGACTTGAACCTCTGGAAGTTCTCTGTCAGTGTATGATTATAGCCATTTCTGTATTACCTTTAGCAAAACTTTACTCGCATGGGATATCAGAGATTGTCCGATGATTTCTGTGTTCCATTCGGTCACCTTTCTTTGGTATGAGCACAAATACGGATCTCCTCCAATCAGTCAGCCAGATAGTTGTCTTCCAAATTTCTTGGCATAAATTTCTGGGCCTCCTGTGCCACCTCAGTTTCTTTGGAAGATTTCAATTTGTATTCCATCATTTCCTGGTGCCTTGTTCTTTGCCAGTTCCTTCAGTGCACCTTGGACTTCTTCCTTCAGTATTATTGGCTCTTGATCATATGCTACCTCTTGAAACGATTAAACATTAACCATTTCCTTTTGGTACAGTGACTCTGTATATTCCTTCTATCTTCTCTTGGTGCTTTCTGCATCATTCAGTAATTTGCCCAGAGAATCTTTCAATAACGAAAGTCGAGGCTTAAATTTTTTCTTCAGTTCCCCCAGCTTGAGAAATGCTGAGCATGTTCTTCCTTTTTGGTTTTCTGATTCCAGATCTTTGCACATTTTGTTGTAATATTTGGCTTTATCTTCTCAAGCTGATCTTTGAAATTTTCTGTTCAGCTCTTGGACCTCCTCATTTCTTCCATTTGCTTTAGCATCTCTACGCTGGAGAGCAGATTTCAGTGTTTCCTCTGACATCTATTTTGGCCTTTTCCTTCTTCCTTGTCTTCTTAATGACCTTTTGCTTTCTTCATGTATGATGTTTTTGATGTCATCCCACAACTCTTCTGGTCTTACGTCTTTAGTGTTTAATGTGTCAAATCTGTTCACAGATGATCTCTAAATTCAGGGGGATATAGTCAAGGTCATATTTTGGCTCTCGTGTACTTGTTTTCATTTTCTTCAGCTTCAGTTTGCGTTTGCATATGAGCAATTGATGGTCTGTTCCACAGTCTGCCCTTGGCCTTGTTTTGACTGATGATATGGAGCTTTTCCATCATCTCTTTCCTCAGATGTGGTCAGTTTGATTTCTGTGTATCCCAGCTGGTGAGGTCCCTGTGTATAGTCATTTCTTATGCTGTCTAAAGAAGGTATTTGAAATGAACAAATCATTGCTTTTCCAGAATTCTATCATGTGTTCTCCGACATCATTTCTATCACCAAGACCATATTTTCCAACTACTGGTCGTCCTTCCTCTTTGCTCCCAACCTTTACATTCGAATCACCAGTGATGATCAATACATCTTGATTGCAT